ACACACTGTCACGTCACGCCGTGACCATCTTATATATACCAGACCACCCCCAATCTAGCAAATGCTAGAGCACTCCCGAAGGAACAGGATAGTTCTAGAAAATAGGTGGCGTGACACCAGTCACGTGACCTCGCTGACGCAACAATACATTCTGTCGTTACCTTAGTTCAAGTTGAGCCTGCGGTTTAAGACTTCGAGCCACTTAAAATTTGAAGGATTGCTAAAACAACTTAGGTTTTTTTTTTATTTATTAAACAAATTATATTGAAATTTAAAATCGAATGAGACCATAACCTAAAACTTGGAGAGCGATGATGCAAAAGCGTGGCTACACGAGTACAACTATGGAATGGCCTTGCTATATTTAACCTTAACCAAATGCGAGGTTCAATGCAAACTCATGAATAATTGCACCCTGATGAACAAAGATAAATAGGAAACAACTGCCTTGGAGGGCTAATCTACAAATGTAGCTCGAGTAGAATGGTCGACGTTTCGAAAGGCTTTCGTCTTCAGGTATTATTTTCTGGTTATGAAAACAGAATATGTAGCAGTTTTCAACTGTTTTGTAACAGATGGAAGATGTATAAATGATATATATAGTTTATTATTAAAAGTTCATTCATTCAATAAACTAAGAAAAACAGATGAAACTGAAAACGAAGCACAATAAGGGGAATGAGAGCAGGAGACTTGTGCTCTTTATAGATGACTCTACGTTCAAATTATTCGATAAAAATCGATAAGAGTTTGTTCAACGGCTGAGAAGACAGGATCATATCAATGTACGACACCTGCAGTCAAGAGTGGTGGGCAATCACTACAAAATTGGGCCTACATCTCAGCCAACATTGTTGGTTGTCTAAACAAAATTGATGGCACACTGACTGCTGACACATACGTGGAGATTATAACTTATCATCCCATTCCCCAAGAAAGATGACTTATCTGTCGATATTTCGTTTTAGAAAAAGACAACGGTTAAACGATATCTTGATGATAAAGAGGCTGATCGAACACTTACAACCATGGTTTGGGCTGCACACAATACCGACATGAAATTTTTGAGACTGTATAAGTTTATACAAAAATTCAGAATGTCAAAAAGCGACTAAACAATTCATTTGAATTGGGAGGAGTAACACATGGGACTTGAACAATATACCACAATAGATTGATAAAATGTATGATAGCATCAAAAAAGGGCTTAATGTTTTGTGTAAGGCAAAGGGTTCGTATACAAGTTACTAATGTATTGTACAATCTAGTTGCTAGTACCAATTGTTAGTGACTCCTATATGTATATCACTTTTTTCCTTTATTGTATTTAAACTCAAATATATTCCCGAAATTCCTTTTAATTTAGTTAAACCAACAGTTTAAAATATTCTGCAGTTTTTCTTTAATACATACTTTATTGATATCTTAATTAATTATATCAATAGATATAGCCATTTAAAGGTTGTAATGTTAATAAAAGTCAAAAGATGCTTGTTACATCCCTTTTATTTTATCTTTGTTTAGACAAACAGTTCGGTAAGTTCAGCTATTTAATATTTGAAAGTTCATTAATAAAGAGAATCTTTCTTCTATATTTTATCGAAATTTTGATCGAATTAAACAAATATTTTAGGAGCTACAGACTTGAAGGTTGTAAACGACTGATATAAATAGCCTTTTTATGTTATAATCCAATTAGCCCAACTTGCACTGAAATTGAGCCAAAGGCCTTGTCGACAGCAGTGTAACTGATATGCATTTATACTTTTTCCAACTGAAAATTCATATAGATCTACTAAAGAAAATATTTAACGTACATAAATATTAACATATTAGATTTCTTTTCGATCGTGCTTTAATCCTAAGATGTATGTATAGAGTTCTCAAGTTCATCAAAGTGAATATGCCCCCCCCCTCTACAATTTAAGTAAATTACGTTTGAATTACATCAACATGTTTTAAAAGTCTAAATCTGTGAAAGTTATACTTTTCAGCCACAAAATTATGTCGAACGTTTTATTTGTTTGTTTGTTGTTAAGAGCAAAGCTACACAATGAAATGTGCTTTGCCCACCGCAGATATCGAGAAACGATTTTTAGCATTATAACCCATCAGGATTGACCACTGGAGAGAAGCATATCGAAAGCTTGTTCGACTTGGATCAATGGTTCTGGAGATACAACGAAGTTGTAAGTTCAATAAAAAAATTACTAAGTGTAGTTTGATATATGATTAATACACTAATTTTGAACTGCACGAAGTTGTAAAAAAGGGCATTTAACAACATCCAAATTTCATTGTTTCTCAGTATTCTAGACTGAGTAAAAATCTGTTAAAACACCAAGTTTTAGTTTATCAAACCATACGTTAACAAATTTTCACAAACATACACATAAGATGAGATTATGGAGCACCATTATATGGTTAAAGTTCCTATTGCCACATTCAGTCATGCTCTATTCGATGGCCGTTCATCTTGAAGAAAAGATAAAAATATCCCTGCACGTAATTTCCAATACAAACAACTGTTTTAAGGCTGTTATGTCAAAAGTGTACCACTGTTCCCTTCGTGCTTTCCATGATTTATCTAGTGTACGAGAATGGTTTCCCAGTCCCATTTCAACAGTTCGACTGCACAAAAATCCATTGGTGCTAAATCTAGCAAATTGACCAGTACGTTGTTATTTGGAATCTCATGAATACTAGTTTCAATAACCTCCTGTTTAAGGTATGCAACAGTTGCTTGGGTATGTCTTTGAAGCAACTTTTGTTGCTTTTCTAGACGGAGGTCCTTCTTGAATATATTGCATACTGTTGCCTGGAACACATGGAAATCGTTTGCCATTAACTTTTGTGTTTGTGGATTCTCACTTGTCACAAGATGACACTTGTGATATGACTCGTTGCAAGTCTCTTTCTGGATGGTCTTCGTGCTGCAAGTTGATCCATTTTCCTTTTTTTCTCCAATGCCATTATATACAAGGGATAGCTACGTCTTAGAAATTTTAAATCTCTGATCTAAACACATCTGTATGATCCGGATATCTGAATATTTTGTATTGGAAAGGGCTGCTACATATCTTTTACAGAAGATATCAATTTTTGATAGCATCACAGTACATACCTATGTAATACCAAATAATGTCAATATGTATTTCTGATAGATGCTGCTCCACCATGCTATATATTGGCCGTGGTTGTCACGTGACTTGTCATTTTGTATATTCAAAATTGTTTTAATACAATGTACTCAACCCTCTTTAAAGATAGTACATTCTTGATTTTTATATAAAATATATTTAAGTATCATATTTGTTAAGAATATATTATAAATCAAATTAATAGACTTGGGGCTAGTAAAACATGTATATTCCGAGACCTTCAACAGATGAATGATCATTAACAACTCATATTATGATTGTTATTGTTACATTTATTCATATTGTTAAATACAATTTCTACACTTTTAACAGTATCAAAACGTATTATACAAAATATCCTCACTACAGACTGAGCTATACAAAAACAATGCACAGTTTAACTCATAAACACACTTACTTAACTTTAATATCTACTGTACAATCATTTACTCAAAGCAATAAAAACAACAACAGAGAGCAGAGTCTGTTTAAACAGTTGGGACTGTGAAAATGATTGATATATTTTAATTAATAATACACACTCAAATAAATCTTTCTTATATCTTTATGGTTTTTTGACAAAAGTACTCATATTGCCTTTTTGTTTTATGTAAAATCTAAAGATGTGGTAAAATATATTCAGATGAACAAATTGATATAAAAGCCAAGAATAAGAGTTACTGTGGTTTCCAAATTAAAGGTTGTTGTCCAACTCCTAATGTCCTTAAAAAAAAAAAGATACTCACCATGGTGAAAATTAAAATTCCATGAGACAATACGTTTGTTTCAACATAATGTGAGAAAAAAATATGTTCAACTGGTTGAGCACCCATGTTCAATTTTATGATATGAAGAACAATCTTGTAATGAAAACTGCTATCCTTATGTTGCCTTTAGAAAAACTAAAGAGCACTGAGAGCCCTTAATAAATTTTAGGCATAAAAAAAACATTCAAAACCAAATATGTAAAAACTATGAATTACTTAGTTATTAAGTAATGAAACAAAAACTTGTACTAACTCAACTATACAGCAATATGAGTGAACATGAAAAAAACTGCATATTTGTAAATCCATCCAAGAATAGTTTGAAGGCTATGACTTCAGCAATTCCCAAACTAAGGGTTACAGCCCTCTGGTGGGGTCATAAGAGGTATCATGATGGGTTAAAGTAAAAACATCAACATGTTCTGTATTTTAAAATGAATTTACTAAACATTAGTGAAACAGTAGTCTCCACTCCCCCACTTCAGCATGGATCCCAGAAAATTACATGGCTTTTTATTTGGTGGATTGGGGTAGTTAGGGATCTTCCTGTTCTCTTTATCATAAATTGTTTACTCAAACAATAGTGCATAATAGTACAAGGATAAGTCAAATGATATAAGACTCATCAAGCAAGTGGTATTATTTCCAGAAATACAAAATTATAAGCAATATCCTTACAGCTACAGGTTTTTGCTCCCAAAATTAAGTTTCTATGGAGAATAATATGATCCTTGCACATGTCCAATTAAATTCATTAGTAAACTAAATTTCTAAAACATCATACTGAATATTTTTTTTTAACCTGTACAGCTCCTTTCAAAATATCAACTTACCTTAAAATACATTTCAATATCTTGTCTAAATTTTCGTTTTTATTCTTCAAGCACAAAATTATTGTACTATCATTTATCTAAGAAAAAAAAATGTTAAGGATATAATGGAAACTTTGTAAGTTCTAAAGCTACATGTAATTTCAATGGAAAATGCAAATTTAATATAACACCTTAAATTGGATAACGTCTTAAAACAATCCACAATAGGGAAAATAAATGTCCTAATAAATTGCATCCCATAAAATTGAGAATTACATTTGTTTCTACCAAAAACACTAGTATACCTACCTGGTGGATACTTTTTCAAAATTAAGAGTAAGTTAAAAAAAAAAGTTGCTCATATCACTAATTAGTAATTCATAGCAGTACAAACAACTTTCAACTTCCTTGTTAACCTGAAGATGACCTGAGAAAGTCAAAACGTTGTTCTTGTACTTTATTTTAATTAAAGTTTTTAATACCCATACCAGCTGTCTCTGCTATACATTTCAACTTCCTCATCATTATGAGAGATTTCGGAGACCTGAAATGATATTTTTATTTCCAGCAGCACTTGGAAAGTTTCAATTAAGCACTTCTGAAATAAAATATTAAAAAATAAAAACCACATTGATAAATAAACCATTTTGTGCTTAGAAGTATTTGTTTGTAATAAAAACAGTTGTTAAATGCAGCTCCTGTAAAACATCTTGACATGATTCTAAATGAGTCTTCATCCGTGCAGATATATGAAAAAAGACTTAATGTAAATTCAGGTACAAATAATATTTTGAAATCAATTAAATTTTGATCCTTGCAATCAATATTTATTGTGGCATTGAAAGTTTGTTTTGTAAATGTTAACCCAGTTAATTAATTTTTTCTTAATCATTTAACCAAGTTATGAATTTAAAATAGACTGAACATTTCTTGATCAAACAAAATTTGAGAATTCCAAACAATTTAACAACAATTACTAAATCTTTGTTTAAATACTGATGTTCCAAAACAATTTAAGTATTAATCTTCATTTTACAAAGATGAAGACAGTCCAAAATAAGGTACAAACATTTGGTTCACTTTTTAAATACTGTAAACTAGAAATTATCAAATAAAACCATTACAAACTTATATCAGTATACAATGAAAGATATCACAAAAGCCCAGCAGCCCCAATAACTAATATAAAAGCACTTATGTGGAAATGAAAATATTGGAAAACATTTTAAAGTCATGTTCAATAGCCTGTTCCAAAACACATCTTTTCATTCAGAATCACACTAGTTCAATGTCATTAATTTCTAATAGATGAAAAACAGAGAGCTAAATTATGTTAAAGAAAAATATTTGAACATTTACAGTGCTTATTTACAACAAATGTATTTCAATAATGCTAATATTAACAAAGATTGTTTTTCCAAAACAAACAAATTTCTACCAAATTTAGAATCTTAATTATTCATTGTGTTACTTAACTACTGGCTCCTCTACTATACAAAATGCTAAGACCTTTGGCCAATAAGAACGAAAAACAAATTAAAAACTATGAGATAATATATGCATTCTACATCTTTTATCAAAATCTTATACAGACAAGTTCTGCACTATAAAAATATGTGTACTGATAGTGCAAAACAGTGTTTCTCTTAATGATGAGTATTTGTTTTATTTTAGGTATCTTATGCAGTATGAAATTACTTTTTTGTTCAGTGAAACATGTTGAATATTTTTCATGTGAAATAAAGTAAAAACTGATACAACAGGTTTTAACTTTACCAAAATATCAATTTGTTTGTCCTCTTTTTGAACACAGCTGTATTAATGATTCTACAGTTTACGAAAAAGTAGCATAAGTACAAATTAAAATAATAAAACCTAAGACAACCTCTAACCTAAAGTCTGATAGAACTAAAATTTACATATCTAGTTTTCCATTAATTAATACTTGTATTTTTTTACTTTTTTTACATTTGACTACCATAAGGAGCTCAGACACATCAACACATGAAAAATTTATCTATTTTTCATATTTTCTATACGAATCTACACAGCAGCCTGAGAAGTGCTAATATAACTGTAGTCTTACTAAATCTTAATGTTTTTAAAAAGCTCTAAACAAAATTATAATCTATATCATATCTATTTTTTCTAAAGGTTTTACTTAAAACTTCAATTTATCAGTCAAGGTCAGGATAACCTGTGCAGTATAAGCCTTTTATCATAAAATGAGTTTGTGGTCTATGAATAACCATCTGATTCCTAAATACTTGTCATTACACATGTTAGAAAAGATTAAGTGTGTACATTACTGAGAAGCATTTCACTTGTATCACAGCACATTAAATATGCAAAAATCAAAATCAGCATGAGATTCAGAAAATGCAAAAACTGAAAATCCTTATAACAGAAACCATTATAAGGATGCAACGTCTTAACAAAACTTGAAGCATGATGAACTACTTAAATCCATCAGTTATTTTTATCAAGTAATGGAAAAATATCAATTTTAAAACCATTATATTGTAGACTGAAGTTATATTCTGTATATCTTATTACTTTATCACATACATTGATATGAAAAGTCACAACTACGCATAGTGTAAAACACAAAGAAATTCATCCAAATATGCTACCATACTTACCATAAAAAAAACAACTACACTTCAAGAGTTCAATTAGTTCTAAACATTCAAATCTGTTTTTCTTGTTATGTGTGAAAGTCAGCTAATGATACACGACAGGCTTATATCAGTTCCATGGTTATTATCTATTGTTTTATTAACCAATTACCAGCTCATAATCACTTTTCCTTACCTCAAACCCTATTACCAGTCATCAGTTAAACATCAGCTCACATACACTGCTTGCTTTATCTCAAACCCTATAACCATTCATCAGTTAAACATCAGCTCACATTCACTGATTGCCTGATCTCAAACCCTATTACCAGTCATCAGTTAAGCATCAGCTCACATTCACTTTTCCTTACCTCAAACCCTATAACCAGTCATCAGTTAAACATCAGCTCACATTGTTTTCCTTACCTCAAACCCTATAACCAGTCATCAGTTAAACGTCAGCTCACATTGTTTTCCTTACCTCAAACCCTATAACCAGTCATCAGTTAAACATTAGCTCACATTGTTTTCCTTACCTCAAACCCTATAAACAATCATCACTAATTATTCAATAGTTCAAATTCACTTTTTGCATTATCTTGGACACTATAAGCACCCACCAGCAGCTTCAATACCATACCAGTATACTAAAGATCCTTACTTTAGTTTTCTTAAATTATTTACCTTAACCCATTTTCTCAATCAACATTTTCTGCTTAATCACAAACCATATAAATATCCATTCAATTATACTTTATTCTTTCTTTAAAAATGCATCTCTCCTCATTTATTGCACTAACTAAACTTACTAAAAGAATTTACAGTATGTTATAAAGCTGCTCTAATCACTTCTTTCACTAAAACTTTTAATACACCCTAATTTCATCACTTTTATTTCCTCAATCTTATTCTTTTAAATTTGTACTTTAAGACTGAGATGCATCTTTACAGAAAGGGTACTCAATAGATTCTAATCATTATTGTTTTAGTTTTCTGTTATACTGATTAATGATATTAAGTATTTCCAACCAGTTTCTCATACACAATTCTTTTCTCTAACTCATACAGTTAGGATACTTCTAACATTTTGTAATTCTTTAAATCACTGATATGGACACAACCTTCTTATTTTTTTCTATGTAATCTTCCTGTTTTTTAGCTGCACTCATTCTACACAATGTACACATTTCTTTAAATTTTAATAGTATAACAAAATTTTTGTAACGTTATTTTTTACTTAAATATTTTTATAAATCTCTACAAATGTTCGAAACTTTTTTATTTTCCACTCATATTTTTCTCTAAATCTTATTCATAATGACAAGGAAATTATAGTTAAAGTTATAATTATAAAACAAAATTAATTAATTTTTTTACTATATGGAGTACACAACAGATTATCACATTTTCCCATTTTGCAACAGCAAAAAAGGTATAAAACACTAACAATATCACAATATATCAAACATGCTTCACTGCAGAGAATAAAAGAAACTGATCATATTTTTATTTTTACACAGGTGTACTTTTCTAGTATCTATTTAATATGTGATTGGTGTTTATCATTAACTTACCTTTTCACATACACATTTTAAAAAAGCATTTGTAATGAGACAATTTTAGGTTTTACATCTTAATTCAAACAAAAGGGTAAGACTGTTTTGAAAACAAAGACTTCTTAACTTTAACACGTGCATAATTAGGAGAGGCTATGACAACACTGAAATAAACATTGTCTCTCTCAACTTTCCATTTGATGCAACAATTATTAATAATGTCACAAGAATAAAGAGGGTATATGACTGAATTAACATTTGGTTTGCTTCATTTAACAAAGCCACTAAAACATTCAATCTTGTCATTAATACACTGCTGAAAACAACTCTTCTTACCTCTCTCCGTAGGTAATGGAACAATGAAAAAAATAATAAACATATGTTCTGAAATCAGTTGATTTCCCTCATTTTTGTGTAGTCAATGTAATGTTCAATTTTGCCATTACACTATTCTAAAGAAAGCAGCTTTCCTTATTTCTCTTTATAGGTAATTCCACATCTTGTAAGATTTTTTAAATACATTTTCTGAAATAAGTTCATTTTCCTCATTTTTGAGTAGCTAATGTTTGTCATTACACCGCTGTTGTAAAAAAATAAATAGCTTTCATTATTTTCCCTGTAGTTATTACAACAAACAATAAACATTAAATAAATGTTCTGAACTCAGTTGTTTTCTCTCACTTTTATGTAGCTGATGTAAAAATAACTTTAATGCTGAACTTGAAACAACTGTTTCTCCTTCTGGTTATGTAGCTGACATAACAAAAAATAACCAATATGATACCAGCTTCAATTAGTTCTCCCTGAACTTACATAGTTGATACAAGAATAAACAGCTACTACATCTTTGAATTGGAAACAATAAGCTCACCTTGTATTTTTTTTAAACTAATGCAACAATAAATAGCCATTACAATGATGAACTCAAAGCAATCGGCTCTCCTTGTACATACGTAGCTTGTAAAGCAGCAATGACCATGTTGTGCTAACGAAAAGTTTTCTTTTAGTACTTCACGCGACTGCCAATAACTAGAGCATGGCTGTTTCCCAAAAAAGACTATTTTCTTCTCTTTGTACTGCTGAGGTAAGAATACCCACATAATACTCAACAGTAATAACACTGCAGATTCTGTTTCCTGTGTCATAACTGGAGCCAACAATGTTCCAAATCAACACTAAGTTTCAGCATTGGTTATGATTTTGCATGTTGAATAAAGATCTGCAAAAGAAAATAAACTCACATATATATATTACCTACTGAAAAGCAAATAAGATAAACAAATTAGTATAATAAAGTACAGTTTATTATTATAGTTTAATAAAAAATTATTCACTGAGAATGAACCATTCACCAACATCAGTTTCTATTAACGAGTCAAGGTTTAAGATAAAAATTACCCCTTTTTTTATAAAATTGCTATACAATAAATTAACAATAACAGGTTCTCACTAGGGTCCCATACTCTCAACTTTTTGTTCCAAGAGTCCCCACATTATGGTATCAAATTACATAATGCACAAACTACTCACAAGCATTATTAATAATAACATTATTATTGTCATGATATAAAAGACTGTTTGGTTTAAATATTAGTGATTAATTTATAATTGTGAGTAAATATTTTATTATTTTTAAGTTTTGTTCAAATAAGTGTTAAAAGCAGATGATTGTAGAAGGTTTTGTTAAAAACTAATTGGTGTCGAGAATATAGAAAGTAGCCAGACGACTATGTAATAAGGATATAATAATAAAGATGTAATAATAAAGACAAGCGGGAAGCAGCAGACAGACAACAATAGACAGGTAATAGCAAAAGAGAATATAGCTGTGTGAAGTTAAGTACCGTAGATGTGATAGACCTAATGTTTAATATGTTAGAGTGAAACTAACAGTATAAAAAAAAAGATAAAAAGGATAATTTTATTCCATCAAACCATGGTTCTTAAGTAATTGAATCAGCCTGGGTACACTTTGACAAAAGGAATAGAGGATCTTCAGAAGAAAGAAGACCAAACAAATTATGGTAATTTGGCCCACAACTGTAAATAAATCACACACAGAATGATAGTACAGTAATAATATAGAGAAGATAGTTCGACTTGTCAACTGAGATTCTAAGGTAACTGAATAGGCCTAAGTGGACTTTTGACAAG